GAATAAAATCTAGATACGACTCGATATCGGTAAATCTAGGGCGATGCAGTCTCGTCCGAGGCCCAGCCAAGGAAATGAAATCACAAGCCCGAGGTCCACGACAAAGTTTATGAAACCGAACGGTTTTTGGCCGGCTTCCGGTACGTTTTTTATTCCGGACAGCCGTTTGCGAGTCTGCCAGATTACGAATGGATGTAAGCGGACGCTGGTCGCATCTGGCCCGAAGTCGCGTAATGTCTCAGACTACCAGCAGAGGGTGTACGTATAACGTGCCTTACCCCTTTGCCGTATGGACGGATTCGCTCGATATATAGGTACGCGATATGTACGGAGTAACCCATGCAGGATATATCCGGGATTAGCGTTGAGCCGCACCTTATCATATTTAAAGCTCCGCGACGTTTAGTTGGTATCCTGCAGGGTTGCGTTCGTGATATATCGAGGTGCACTTGGATTGCACAAGGATGCATCGGTATCGCGGTAATGCCCCGTAATTTCGAGCCGAAGGAGCAATTCGGATGGCTCTTGTGTATCACGCGTTGACCACGAAAGAGATATTAAGGTGATATGAAAGGGTCATTTTACGTATATCGACACGTCAAAATATTAAAAAACTTTTTTTCAAATTGGATGCACCGAATCGTTTCACGCTTCAAAATGAAAGGCGAGGTTCGACGTGGCTCCCTTCAATTGAGACGAGCAAATTGCGATCGATTATTTTCCAGAGTTCAGAAAAAAAAAAAAGGAAAGGAAAATGGGGGCTATTCAATGGTGGTCTCCAAGAGCGGGAGATACTTGCATAATTCGCGCGCACTGCTGCGCTGGTTTAAGAGATTTGAAATGCAGAATTAAATTTCCTCGGCGTTTCCGAAAAGAAACCGCGGAGCATTCTTCTTAATTACTTATTCATACGGAGATTAGACGGAATGAATTGCAAATTCTCTTTATCCGAAGGGGCCATCGATTAAGAGAAGTCCTCCCGCCGACATTGATTATTCTAATTACGTCCGTCCGAACGTGACAATCTGGACCCAAAAGATCATTAGAGACGTTATCCGACTCAATGATTCATTTCAACTTCCTCGTTTCCCCTTTTTCCATCATTTCGCGATTGCGTCGACACACGGTGCGTTGTCTTCGAGACAGAAATCGAAAAATCAACCTATCAGTTAATTTAAATGTCGAATTGATGTGCCGAACTTTGGTGTTAAATATTCGGTGCCGTTCGCGCGTGCTTTTAAATGTATTTGGCGCGAAACTCTACCGAGTTACACGATAAACCGGACAGGTATAGCGATGAATAAAATCGGTCTTGGTTTTGGTCTTGGAAAAAGAGCGAAACCAGAATCAAGCTCTGACCACAATTGCATGCCCAGGATTCGAGTATGCAAGACCAAGACTACTGATCTTTATTTTAGGCTTGCGTTCGCTCGTCACTATATAACATAGTCCAACAGTCGCGGATAACCCGTAATCATTATAGGATCGAGAAGATTTGTTGAGAAATTTCCGAACTAATAGCCGATCGGCAAGATTCCTGCTCCCGATATCGGCGCCCACTGTTGTCCGTACGTGGACGTTATTTATCGGCTACTCGCAACCGGAAGAGTCACGCAGGAAGTTGTTCGAGTTCATGAACTCCCCCTCGACGGAGCCGTTCGATGTCTCGAACCGACTTCCGGGTGCCACTTCCTTTTGACTACGTGCTTTGGCTCCGGCACCGGTGCGGAGGCACAATTGATTTACGTTACACCGTGATAGTCCTTCGCTGTAAAACAATGCTCGATGCTGTACGACTCGCTCGAAAAAGAGCAATTCATCAAGTCCAGCTTGAACTTTCCAGACTTGAGCCTTTCTTAGGACTCTGGGTCAACGTGATTCTATTTTGTCCTCTAAATTCACTCTCAATTTTCTTCAAGTCATACCATAACATACAAACCCAGACGCAATCTCCATCATCTCTTTTCCATTCGTACCACTTTACAGTATACAATTCCGAGTTCTATCCCTGAACAATCTAGATGAGCCTCCTAAATTTTGGTTTAAATCCCCTCCGAGATATATTAATCGTCGCGAAAAACAGGAAAGCAAGGAGCTGAGTTTCGGTTCAGCTTGGGCTTTGTCGCCGTAAAATCGGAGCCGGGGCTGACATATCCGCGAATCTGGACCGCGGAGGAAACAAACGGGAGGATCCTTCCACGTCGTCGGATAACCCGGGCTATCTGGTATTTTTTGGCGAATAGCCGACATAGAACGTCGACGTACGTTACGTGCCCGTGCCAGAAACGATCGGAGCTCGGCTAAATTATTGGCATCAGCGTTTCCCCCGGTGTTTGCGGCTGATTGCAAATTGGCCCTGCCACACAAAGACGCAACTTCGCGATCCCGTCCCTGTAAATATGCGACGGGTGGATCTCCTCATCGGTTCTCCTCCCTCTCCCCGGTCATCCGCAATCAATTCTCTTCTGCTCGCGGTTCGGCTAATTAATCGAGGCTGATTGCTCGACTCAATTGCTGACGCGGCGTCCAAGCCGCCATTTAGGATCCTACTTGGGATGCACCGAGAGATTCCTTTCGGGTCTTTCCGGATCATCACCGGCTTCTCCTTCCCCTCTAAAACTGTTGTCTTTGAACCCCTGGGTTTGCAGTTCGGCGAATGATGATCGCGTTAACATCGGCTCGGGGATTCTTTGGAGGATGCGGATTTTACAAAGTGCGAGTGCAGGACTTTCTGTCGTCCATCGAGATACTTATCGGGATGAAAATGATAATTTCTGGAGATTTTAAATGCAACGAGACTTAAAAAAAAAAAATAGAATGGTCAGGAAAAGATCCACGCGATGACTTTTGTATTTTCCCGGCAATGAGACTTTGTGAGAAATCGTTTTGACGATCAACAAGGACGAGGAAACGCGTGTTTCTCTAAAGTACACGTGCACGATTTTCTATCGTCGTCCTACTTGCCAGGTGACACTTGTCATGTAAAACGATTATTTTCGGCAATTTGAGATGCAACCGCGGAAGCTTCCGTATTTCCCCCGTAATGAGGCTTTGTGAGAAATCGTCTTTATGATCCGAGGCACGTCGAGGTCGAGGAAATACGTCTTCGTCGCAAAAACTCGCAGCGTCAAAGGCCGAAAGCACGCGGCGGATCTAAGGAATTTGCGCTCGTCAAAGTTGGCCAACCTCGTCAGTTCCACGGTTTCCCTAAACTCCGGCATCGCCGGAATTGTTAGAGAGCGTGTGCGTGCTCGACTATGTCAAAAGTTAGGGTTTTCGCTGCGGAATTGCGGGACCTTGCGCGAACCACGCGAATCGCAGTTGCGCCGGCCCTCGACCGCCGAACTTTTTTGCACTTGCTCCTTACCCAGAGGGTACCATTTCACTGAAGTACCCTCTCCGAGCCCCGGTTGCATACTTTGGACCGTATAACAATTTCGCCAATTTTAATTAAAATTATTACCCGAGCCATTGCAAGAGCCCCCACTAAGAGAAACGCACGTCGTCGACTTGAGAACTTGATAAGAATGTAAAAGATTCTACTTCTTCCTTAACTCCGATAAAAGGACTAATAAAGAAGGAGAGACCGGAGGAGGCTGTTACATTTAAGACTTAGTCATTTTTTACAAGTCTGCCGAAACTGCAAATTTGAGCTTTTCACTTCTGCTACTATTTGAATTTCTTTTTCATTCCGTAAAGTATAATAACTTATCCCACGTATAAATAAAAAGTTTAAACATGCGTAAGTACGAGAAAGGATAACAAAACTGGAAAAGTAGATTAGAACGCATGATCAACGGAACTATTCGCAACAGTTAATAATGCTACCTGAGCATGTCAAATATACGACGATATGTCAGTTACGTTAACGATAACGAAGTGAAATTTTACTATATGAATATATAGTAAAAAATCGAGGATAAAAATGCCAGAATTTTCTGAGATACTTGCTTCAACGTTAGGCAGGATTTATTCCAACTTTCATCCCGCGAAGGGGTTAATCGGACTCGGTAGATAGCGGGATGCACCTGACCGCGTAGGATGCACTTGCATGCCGCAGGTGCACCGGGTGCACCTTGCAGAGGATTTTTTCCTCGGCGCATCGGTCGGGATTAATTCATGACACCGCCTCGCGATTTCGCTGAGTGGATTCCCTCTGTATCGCTCTCGGTTCTCGTTCTCCCCTTTCCCGGAGCGGAGCCATTTTTACGGGCCGGGGCCGCGATGGGAAAATAAACAATGGCCGGCACCGCCGAAAAACCGAATGGACTGCGGGACCCGCGGAAAGTTTTCCGCCGGGCCGTCATTTCCATGAATGCGAAATCAAATAGAAACCGGCGCGACGCGACTGCGCGACGCTGCAATAAATCAGTGCGCTCCGCTTCTTTCTCCCCTTTTTATTTTTCACTAGAACAATTACTGCGCGGAGGGCCGACATGATTAATCCTCCGAGAATCTTACAACGGAGAAGTATACATTCAATGGATCCAGTTTCCATTAAAAGGGAAGTCGAGTCTCCTCGATATCGGGTAATTCGAGTAATCCCGGGAAAAATCACGAGTTTGACATTAAGCCATTAAATTAATATTAATATCCAATCAAAACAACTAATTCTCCGCGAACGGCATAAAAGGGAAATAATAAAGCTAATTTTTATTGCCGATAAAATCGAGCAATTCGGAGGATGCCGGGAAAAACCACGAGTTTAATGCTGAACTAATAAGGTTGAATTAATGATAATAAAAGTACTCAACTGATTCGACGTTTTCCGGGAGAATGACTTCCCTATCTTTATGGAAGCGGCGTGTATTATTGAAAAGGACGTATAAACATTAACGCCATCGGAGGGGCGTCTTCAAGGTTTAAGCAGACGATTCGGCCCTTAACTCGTCATCTTACGATCCAATATCAACGTTTTACTCCAACGGGGCGCGGAAAAGGGAGGAACGAGGATATAAAGAAACGCGACATTGCCGGGAGAGAAGCCGAAGTGTCCTTACCTTATGGCCATGCTCTTCGCCTTGAGGTGATGCCATCTCTGGTTCATCTCGTCCAGACGACGCTGCAGCATGACGGCGTCATCCTGGCTAGCCAAGGAGCTCAGTAATTTTCGTCCTGTTCCGTTCAGGGAAGCGTACACGTCCCGGTGGGTCTCGATCTCCGACTGGAGGTCCTGCAACGAGAAAAAGGATTCTCCATTTCCGATGCGTTCCAGATTTTTTCTTTTATTATTAATTATTATCAATTGGTTATAATTACACAATAATGTACAATAATTATACAATATTATTGGTTCCATTTCACGTTTTTCTATGTGGAACTTAAGTTATAAATATGTAAAAATGTATGTAAACATCCATCGATTTTTATGAGGGTATTTCCGAGTTTTATGGATACCGATCGGGTGTAAGCTGTAAAATATGAAGATACTAATTTCATTATTTTCATTTATTTATTCCACCCGTTGGTCGCGATAACCCGACGTTAATTACGCTGTACAATTTAGTGCAAATGCGTAACACGGGTTTAAGAATAATTCTTGTCTACGGAACGTGACACAGTTCCCTCGAAATTGTACATTCCGTGCAGACAGATTCTAGTTCGCGGGAGAAATAAAAATGGCAGCTCGTTACTCGAAGGTACAGCAATGGCAAAGTACACAGGGCGAGTAGGACCGAGTATTCTCCTCTGCAACGAGACTGTAACGTTTCGGATGAATATGATAAAAGACTGCTACAGAGGAACGTACTTGCTATATAAAAGCCCATGGGTCCTGAGGATGGTATGGTCTCTAAAATATTCCGCCATCTTTTTCCCCGAGAATTGCCGCAATCCTCGGTGCGCCTCTTACAACATTTACGGACCTTATTTACAATTTTCCCTTCCTCGTAACGATATCTTTAATGGGCAATAAAAAAAAATCGCTCTATGATAACAAAATCACCTTTAAAATTATTCAATTTTAATTTTCAGTTCCTGAGGCTTCTACAGTGAAAACTATTAATCTCAGTTGAATTTCTATGTCTTATATCTTTTTTATTACTTTGTGTGTCTACAGAAATTTCGGGCTCGTTTCTCGCATTGGAACATTTCAATTAAAATCACAGAATAGAATAGTTATCTCGTTTTGTGCGAGATAGATCTGAGAATATTAGAAACTCGATTTCGTTGCATTATTGGATACATATAAAGTAAAATTTAAGTATGTAAAATTACAATTTATGTACAAGTATTGCTTAGGGTTAGCATTTAAAAGTTGAGGTTTCCGAGGTTTACTCGATTCTCGTTCAGACTTGTACCCTACAAAAACGGCGGTATATTTGCGATTCAAACGAGATCGGATTAATCAACACCTTCCTATCTTCAATTTTGGAATCATACTCCAAACTCTCGCGTGCATTCACGAGGCTCATAAGATAAACATTCTCGACTCGGGTTTTGGCGACATCCAGTGTACGACTTCGAGCGTAACTCTCATTTCCCGCGAATTTGTCACGTCGAAGGATCCCGCGGGGTATCTAATTCAGGGAACTTTGGACTTCTCGGCTGGAGTATCACTCGCGATCGACATAATTCAGGGAGTGTTTCAGCTCGAGTGCTTTAGAATTCGAGATCTGGGAGCTTAACGGCGGAATCGGGACGAGTATCCTCCATCAAAGTCCCGACACTTGGACAGTCGCGTCAGTCCGTTCATTGCAAGTCGAGTGACTTGCCGTGAGAAATTGTCGGCCAGTAACGCCAATTACGGGCGGCTTAATCCCGCAGCTCGTGAATTTTCCACGAGAGTTATTTCCGCAAATCTTGCCGAATAATTCCCCGAAAACTGAAGGAAACGGCGTCTTATCAATTTCTCTCCGCATTAAGGTGACATGAAAGTGGCGTCACAGAGGTCTCGATTATGAAACTTATCTCCGAACTGGGTGCACCGAATTATTAGAAACATCAGCACGTGATTATGAACGCCCTAAAGAAGAACGCGGTGCTAGTGAAATTTTTCATTTTTTAAAAAAGATGTATTCGTGGTTCTAGTCTGGGATAAGTACAGAAATTTTGGTTTGAAAAGTGAAATGTCACGAGCATCGCGTTCTTTCTTAGGGCCTCCATAATCATATGCTGAAGTTTCCAACGATTCGGTGCATCCAGTTAGGGGAAAACATTTTGACGTTTTATATACTTTCATATCACCTTAAATGAAGTTCTCCCATGGTTACATCTACCTTTACTATCAGTGCAGTTATTGCCGCAATAAAAGCAAAACTGCCAGCAATGCTGCCCATTGTTAAGGGTGTAAACGCCCATTCTCGTATTCCCTTAAGCCTCGCACCGACGCGGCAGCTCGAAAGCTCTTTCCGAAACTCCAGATTTTTCCCTTCCTTTTTTCAAGGGGAAATGTTAAAAGAGGAGGGAGATAAAGCGCCGCCCGAAGGTTTTCCTTCCACTCGAGCCGAGTGTAGACTCCGTGTGATTTCCTCGAGGCAAAGGCGGAAACGATAATCGAAGGACTCGAGTCGAGTGAAGCCCGGGGAAGGATCAGACGATTTCCGCAAATATTTGCCGGGAAATTCTCCAATGTAAACATTTCCCCGGATCGCCGGGCGGCGGGAAATTTTCAGCACGATATGACTCGGCCACTTAGCCGACAATTGCTCGGCTGGAATGCCATTTACTCGGAATGGCCTCGAGTAATTAGGTTAAATCGTTGATCGGGGAGTCGCGATCTCCGATCGATGCCCGATCAATTTTCTCGGCTGCTCCCCGAACTCGATTGCTCTCCTTTAAATTGGCACGTACTCCCCGGTCGACTTGTGCACTCGATCCCTCGTTATTACTAGTACAAACTTCCCTCGTTAATACGAAAAAGTTCTTAAGCGAACTCCCCTGGTAATAAGCTTACTCCGATGCGATGCTCGGCCGAAGCCAAGAAATGGATGTAAAGCGCGGTCAACAATTTCCTGGTCGATCAGTTCGCCGCATTTATTCGTTTACTTATCTCTAGCTTGTTAAGAGAAAGATATTACGAGTTTGTAATATATTTTTTAAACGTCTTGTTCGGATACGATAAACCGATTACAGAGTGCAATGACTACGTGGAATAGTTGCAGTCGAAAAGCGAAATTCGACGTAGTTTTATTAATATTTTTAACATTTGCATATATATATATATACACACACATATGAACGAGTTGCTAACTAGCGCGTATGACTCCATTGCAAAGGAAAGGAAAATAAAATCATTTGATGGCAGTTTCGCCCATCCTGGGCAGTTGAAAGCACGAAATATATCGCTTCGTTAACCGTAAACGGAATTTGCGAAGGCAGGTTAAAAATCCTGTGTTTGCGTAATTTTTTAAAGCCGAGGTTCGTACAGAGTGCAATGACTACGCGGAATAGTCCCGGTCGAAAAGAGAAATTCCCGGGATTTGGAAAAGCTCCCTTCTGGGGGTGCACCCCATAATTACCTGTTCGAAGTAGTGCAGGTCGGCCAACAGGGCATACGATATGTAGATGTAGCGGGCATCGTCGGATTTTCGGGTGCGTACCCCCCTAGGGGGTTCCCCGTGCTGGGTGGCACGACCCCCGGGCCAGGTGCCCCCCCTCTCGGCACCTGCACGATAATCCACCGTAGTTACGTGCCCCAAAGTATCCTCATTACCCCACCTGTTCCCGGCGAGCCACCCTTCTCTTCACATCTCTCGACGCACCCTTCTCACCCTTCTCACGTTTGTCACTTTCGTCACTTTCGTCACTTTCGTTCCTTCACTGGCACTCAAGTTTGTCGTCTGTATCGTTTCTCGACATTCCCCGTGGATCACTTTGGGTACTCCACGGAGAGGAAACATATTTCCGCCCTCCCTGCGTTTTAAAAGCGGAGTGACTAAATTATAGATATAACTCCCAACAATGTCTATTCCTGAATGGAATATTAATTCTTCCGGATTTAATAAGCCCAACCTTGGTATTAAAAACTCGGTGGCGATTGACGCATACACATGGCTTGGCGCATACGTATACAACGTATGTAAGTGTATATTTGGCGCGAAACTCCACCGAGTTTCCCGATACCTCGGAAAAGAATTGGCTCATCGGAGGATTTGGATTCTCAATTAGATGTGCCGAAGACGAGTCTAAAGTTACCCCTTGGAGTGGTCAGAGTCATGGCATGGCTTAAGTCTTGGGGGTAGATAATGGAGGATCCTAGAGGAGTCCGTGGAGCCATTACTCCCGCGTTAATCTTGAATTATGACAGGAGATTTGACGGCTCTCCGCGAATGCGCCGCCATCCGGAAGTGGAATTTCATGCACGGAATTCATTCGCGTCGGCCGCCAAAGGGCGTCGATGGGGGGATTAAATCGATTCAAATGGCGGCAAGGGGTTAAGTCCGGATCGCCGTATGTGGAAGACCGGGCAATCAAAGGTCCATATCAACGAACAGGAGTGCGATGTCTTGCCTGGGGGTTTTCAGGGAAATCCTGAAATTCCACAAACGAGGATACATTGGATCCAACCGAATCCGGAGCAGAGAGAATTGCTTCGGCTCTCTGGGGCGGATAATTAATGATAAAGAAAAGAAATTACGTATTGTGTATAATAATATACTAATTGTACAAGTAATTCGGTTACAATAAATTGCAGATGTATAAACGAATACGAATTTTTTGCAAATTCCCTGCGTCTTTGCGTGGGCCGAGAAAAATAAAACAGGATTGACAAAAGATAAACGTCGGAGGGATGCACATTGTTCTTGCAAATATTTATGCGATTATTCGCAGTCGTCTCGCGTTCGACTTCTCAGCTTATGGGGTCCCATGTTCAGCCAATAATTTCCGGCGCGCATGCTCGGGAGGCACAATTGCCGAACGTATCCGTCCTATGGGGTTATGGCAGCGCAAGATATTTATCTCAGAAGTGAACCATTTGCCAGACAAAACCGCGAGGTTGCTGCGCCCGGGAGGGAACAGGATGCGGAAACGGGAAACGAGATGGTCGAATGCTTCTGGTTATGTGCGACGTGCACATGTCTTTGCCCTGCACACCTGCACCTGGGTTATGTCCCACATACGCTGCGTACACGTTTCCGAAGAGAAACGATCGAGGGACTTCTTATTGCGCGAAATCTACCCTCGTATATCGTCCCACCGTATTCTTGTCCCTCTCATCTGGGGTTTAGATTT